GGGGGTTCCCCTGGGCTTGGTGACGTCGTGCGTTGTGGTCACGACGGACGCATCGACTCGCGGCTGGGGAGCAGTGTGCGAGGGCATGCCAGCTTCGGGGCTGTGGTCAGAACCCCAGAGCCGGTGGCACATAAACCGCTTGGAGCTGGAAGCAGTGTTCTTAGCTCTAAAGGATTTTCGGCCGCAGCTGGAACAGCGACAGGTACTGATTCGCACCGACAACATGTCCGTGGTCTCGTACATAAATCACCAAGGAGGCGTACGTTCCAGGGCTTTGTACAAGCAAGCAGCGAATCTCCTGCTATGGGCGGACCGTCACTTTCTCTCCATCAAAGCAGCGCACATACCCGGTCTCCTGAATTGCAAGGCGGACATGCTTTCGAGGAAAGGGATTCCTCAAGGAGAGTGGAGGTTGCACCCGAGTCGGTTCGGATGATTTGGGCCCGCTACGGGAGAGCGGAGGTCAATCTGTTCGCCACGAGCGAGAATGCGCACTGCATTATTCTCCCTGTCTCACTCCCCATTGGAAGGGGACGCTCTGACATTGCACTGGCCGGTAGCCAAGCTGTATGCGTTTCCTCAGATCAAGATATTAGGGAGGAGGGGGCTTCGGTGATACTCATCGCCCCGAACTGGCCGAACCAGCCTTGGTTCCCGGACCTGACAGAGCTGCTGGTGGCGCCGGCCTGGCCGATCCCCATCAGGAAGGATCTGCTGTCTCAAGAGAGCTGCTCGGTGTGGCACCCGAACCCGGAGTTATGGAGCCTTCATGTGTGGCTGCTTCAGGGATATCAGAGGAGCTGAGCACCCTGCATTCTCATGTGCTCAACATGCTCTCGGAGGCGCGGGCATCTCCACGAGGTGTTTGTATGCTCTAAAATGGGGAGTGTTTGTGAAATGGTGCCGTGATGTTCATATCAACCTGGCTGCTTGCTCTGTGTCGAATCTTCTGCATTTTCTACAGTACAGACTGGATAGTGGATGTCTACCATCAACACTGAAAGTCTATGTGGCCGCTATTGCCTCGTTTCGTTCCCCGCTGGGCGGGCAATCGATCGGTAGGCACGCGCTGGTGGTGAGTTTTCTTAAGGGAGCAAGGAGATTGCATCCCCCACATCTGCCTTTAGTTCCGCCGTGGAACCTAGAGGTGATGTTAAGAGCTCTTTCACAGCCACCATTTGAGCCTTTAACATCCATTGCTATGAAGGAGCTTTCTCTCAAAACTGCACTTCTTGCCCTCGCTTCGGCTAAGCGCATAGGGGATTTACATGCGTTTTCTGTGGTCAGCAACTGTATTCGCTTCGGACCTGGTGACTGCAGCGTCACTCTCCGGCCGAGTCCAGGCTATGTGCCTAAATCACTATCTACCCCCTTCAGAGCGGACGCTCAGACTTCGGTGTGCCCCGTCAGGGCTTTGAGGATTTACATTGACTGTTCGGCCAGCTTTCGGCAATCTGACCAGACATTTGTCCGTGATGTCTAGTGAAAGCTCGAGAGGGAACGTCTCCAGTTACTATCGTAACCTCGGTTCCCTGAGAGCGGGAACGAGACATCACGGAGGTCGCTGATTGGTGTTTTATATTGCTCTCTCCTGTGTTTCTGCATTTGCCGCTTCTCACCACAGCTTACGCTATGCCTACGTCTACATTATCTGCTGAAACACCACTCTCTCGTGAACGCACATATGACAGCGGAAGCTAGAGTTTACGGTTTATAAAGTTTTAAATATGGATATTTTTCATACAAAAACTCCGATTCACTTCAGAAGGCCTTTATTAACCCCCCGGAACCATGTGGAGTACTACTATAATGGATTTATGCACTCTATTTTGCTTAAAAATCCCAACAGCTATTTACTGCATTTATAAAGCTTGGATAAGCCAGGATATTTTTTTTATATAACTGCGATTGTACTCACCTGAAAGAAGAAAGTCATATACACCTAGGATAGCTTGAGGGTGAGTAAATCATGGGGTAAGTTAATTTTTCATTAGGGTGAACTATCCCTTTAAGTCTTCAGCTCAAGATTAGACTTGTGTTATTATACTTTTACCAATACAAAACATTTTACAAGCGTTGTGAAAATACCTAACTATTTACCTGTAGCCTCAAAATGTTAATGTATTTTATTTCCAAAAAAATTTTAGGCATGCAACAGCAACATCTGTGGGATGTTTCTTTTAGGTTTAGCCTCTCATAAATTGTACATTTGATGGCAGGATTCAAAAACTGCCCAATACAACCAGGCCACATTAGAAGAAAGTTGAAAATCTGTGGCGGTAAGGGTCAACTTAGAAGAAACACCAAAGGTTTCACTAAAATAATTAGTGGGTGTCATATTACATCAGCAGCAATCTGATTGTAGCAGCGAGAGATTCTTAACGGGAGGACAATTTTTATCAATAACCTATAATAACATGCAATTAAATCCATAGATTTAATGATGAAAAATGGTGTTATTTAGAATTGCTCTAATCTTACAGGCAAGTAGCCTACAAACCTTTTCTTTGAAGTTTCTATTACTGCATTTCATCTGTATCCTCGAGATGGCAGTAAAAGACCATACAATCCACAGAAAGAAAGTTATTACCTGTTGTTCCCTTTGACACCAGCAGAGGACTGAAATCACACAACATAAAGTGATGGATTAATCTAAACTGATTTATAGACTTATTTTTTTGTCTGTATGCCTGCCTGTCTGTATAGACAAACATAAAACAGATCATAATGTCAAAGTCAATAGCATTTACATATAAAAACCAGCATAAACGGCTAGTAGCCTATTTATATCTATCTTGTCAGTCTATAGTACGTTTGTAACATGGAGAGCGTGACAACGGAGTTGAGGATCCAAATGCAAGGCTTTATTCACAAACGTGGTCAAAACAGGCAGGGGCGAGCACCAGCAAACAGTGTAATCCAATATACAGGCAATGGTCAGGGCAGGCAGCAATCAATCAGAAAACAAAGAAACAGTCCAAGGATCAAAAACACGGGTAAACTAGGAAACACAGAAAGGGTAAACTTGGAAACTAGGAACAAGGAATGGCTATACAATAATCACTCCTCTTGGGTGGGTGTAAGCATCTTTTATACTAGACAAGGTGAACACATGACAAAACCAACCAATGAAAACAAGACACATGCAACCAGGGAACCAATCAGAACATGACACATGCAAACCAGGTACCAATCAGAACGTAACACACATACAAGGGTAGCACATGACAAGATCACATAAGGGGCAAGGAACACATGGGAAATGGAGTCCAGAGTACAGGGGTAAGAGTCTGAGGTGGAGTGCCCTTTAATGGAGTTCATGGGCACTCCAGCTGGCGATCGTAACAACGTTAGACTGCATATTAAAGTCTGAACTTCTTTTTTTCTGTTAAACAATTTTGAGTTAACAGAAAAAACTTCTGAAAAAAAAACTTAAAATATTAAAGTTAACAATATAAATAAAAATATAGCCTATTCTAAATTACAACCACAGCAAAGGCAATGGAATGATCGAGATGAATGAATCAGATATTATTCAGATTTCATACATTTTTTACTTATTTTATTTTACTTATTAATTTCTCATTCTTAATTAATGTTCTCTGTATGCAGAACAATTCAGGAATCAGGAGTAGAGTAATCAGTAAAAATGTTGTTTGATTAAGTATCACTTGCACACATTTTTGTCATATTTAGCAGTGTCATTTTTAGGCGAGACATGTAATTCTGTATTTATATTTCAGCTATTTGAAAGGAACAAAAAAACTTTAAGAAAAGAGGAAATCAAACCACAAATGATCAAGCATAGAAATACTTTAACCCTAATCCTGATCCATAACCTTGATGTCAACAAGAATTTATAATGTTAACAGTAGTTCTGTTAATCTAAATTTGTGTTCATGACCATATTTAAGTAGCATGTTACAGAATATTAAGAGAATCAAAAGCAACTCTTTAAACAAAAAATTGATGAAATAAACAGAGGAAGTAGGTGTGGCCATTGAGTCATACGGCCCCTCCCTCATCATTTGACTCCTCCCCCACATCATCATAGCCTGCATAAAAAAAAACGTGTTTAATGTTGTGATTGCATCAGTATTCCAATCTGAGTTAATTTCATTTAAATCAGCAAATTACTAATATAATTACTTCAAAGTTTTTGTGTCTTAAAAAAGGCGCTAATAAAGAATGAAGTGTGACCGAACTTTTGACAGGTAATTTTATTCTTAATATTTAAAATAAATGTTGGAATCATAAGCCAAAAAGGTTACCTAACAGGTTTCTCACATCTTCAGTGATACTCCACACATCATCATACTCCTCCTGATCTTCCTCTTTACACATGTACAAAAAAGATCATTTAAATTTTTAATACACCTTGAATGTGTGTCATGTCATAGGTCCCTGTCCCCTCATGACAGATTGTTAGATTACACCTGATATAGCCACAATAATTCATTAACGGTATAAACACATTCGATATATAATTGAAACAAACAGTTTATTAAAAATATTTTTTGTGACTCACCTTTTGCACATTGAGAGCATTGTCCATTAATGATGACATCATCATAATTCTCTGGTGTGTCCACTACACACACACAGACACAGACACACACACACACGCACACACACACACATACATTATAAGCTCTTAAATGTAACATTAAGCTGATAAAATGACATTTTTTTTAATCTGAACTGGCCTTCGCCTTAAAGAAGTAGGGTGTAAAAATCCATGAGAAAAATTATCCAAAAATAAAATCACCTTTTTCAGTACCATAGTTCTGTCCACTAGTAATGACATCATAATATCCTTCTGGTGTGTCTCCTACAAATTTAACATGAAACCATTGTTATCACACTCAAAACAAACTTGAATGTACTATATATATTAATATGCACATTGCAGAATTAGAGAGAGAGAAATACAACTAAAGTACAGAAGAGCATCAGCACCTGTCTCACGATCTGGTATCGGTCCACCAGTGAAGATATCCTCATACAATCCTGGTGTGATCTCATTCACCCTCTCTTCAAAATCAAAATAGTATATATATATATATATATATATATATATATATATATAACACAGTTTATAGTTTTCACAGTTTACATTTATTTACTGAGTTTGTAAATCACCTCTCTAACCTGAGAGAAGCTCATCAGTGTCTTCAGATATGAGAATCCCTATTAAAGCAAGGCAGAACAATCAGAAACATGTTTTTTTTTTATGCCATCTTTGTAGGATTCAACTTCGCAAGCTTTTTTGAAAGTTAAGATCAACAACTTGATCCTTCTATAAGCATGAGGTGCCAAGCTGACTTTAACATTGTAAGGGTAATTAGTAATGTGCTAGCAATCGAGAAGTAAACACTGTAGGGACCCTTTGAATCAGTACACACTTACAATTACGTTTTCTCATGATGTCTCACCTCTTTGAGTAAATTGATTGTGTCTGTGATAAATTTCCTCATATATTGGCTCAGTCTGAGACTGAGTCCTGTGAAGTCCTGTGTACCAGTCAGAGAGAGCTGTGAGTATAGAAAGACAAACCTGCAGTCAGTTCACAACACATGACTGATCACACACTGAATAAGACACAATATGACAGTCTCTGGATCTCTCCTACCTCTCCTCATCACTCTGTTCTGCTGAATCAGTATAAGCAGTGCCACTAAGAGCAGTAAGTGCACAACTCCCAGAACAATCACAAGCACTGGGGGGACGGAGAGAGACGCTGCTGGAGGAGATTGTGGAGGAGAGACTGATGTTGTGCGCACTGGAGGAGAAACTGGAGGAGAAGCTGATGTTGTTGTGGCAGGAGTAGAGGACACTGACGAATCTGGCAATGTAAAAAATACTGAAATTATAATCAGTTCATGCAAATGTCTTGAATATACAAATGTTTTACACTTTAAAATGATGAATTGAATATTATTCCTCAGTATTTTGCTGTGACCTGCACAGGTGAGTCCAGCGTGCTCTTTGTGGGAGCAGTCAGTGTGGTTTTTCAGGGAGAGAGGACAGTCCCACAGGTGAATCTCATTCCCTTTGCACTCGACTTTGTTCATCCACACAACACCTTCACCAGAACCAAAGACTGAATTCCCATCAGCCCTCAGTGCTGCTCCACAACCCAGCTGCCTGCAGACCACCTGAGCATCGCTGATGTCCCACTGATCATCACAGAATGAGCCCCACACAGCGTTATGATACACCTCCAGCCTCCCAGAGCACCGGCCCTCCCCTCCACTCAGTCTGAGAGGAACATGGTCTAAAACACATATCAAACAGCACGGACCAGCTTCAGCACAGCATTGTCATAAACCTCAAGTTCTTTTCTGTATTATTTACTGTTTTAAATCCCTCTGTGCATTCTATTCTAGAGCCCTCTACTTCTCTCTGTGACAACTTTGGGACGTTTTTTTTTGTTGTTGTTGAGAAGATCACAACATTAAGATCCCATCTGTCTAATTCAGTGTACACTTTGCATCAATCTTTGGGCCAGTGTTGTTTACCCTGTATATGCTAATTATGCCTTCCATTTTTAACAAATATAGAGTTTCTTTTCATCTATATGCTGATGATACTATATTAAATAATGTAAAATAATATTTTCCCTTAAAGCATAAAAATGGTTTTCAACCACTTTTGGCCTGTTTCGAAGAAATTAAGCTTTGGCTATCAAGTAATTTTCTAAATTTAAATGAAAATAAAATCAAAATAATTCTATTTGGGCCTAAGGAATATTGCGTGCTAGATGTTGACCATGACCATCTGGCCCCATATGAAAGTCAGTGCACTAGAAATCTGGGAGTTCTGTTTGATCATAACTTAGATTTTGACAAACAGATCAGTACTGTTGTAAAATCATGCTTTTTTCATCTTTGTCAACTTTCTAACATGAAACCCTTTTTTATCACAGAGTAACTTCAAAATGGTGATTCATACTTTTGTAACAACTTGTTTAGAATATTGTAATTCATTTTATTACGGTGTTTCAGCCTTCCTCCTCCCACCTACAGCTAGTGCAAAAGTCAGCTGCTAGACTTCTCTCTGGGACCCGCAAGAATGAGCCAGCAACTCCTATTTTATCTACATTGCACCGGTACCCTAAAATTCTATTATTTGTTTATAAAGCCCTCAATAATTTGGCCTGTCAACACCAGTATGATTATTGCTTTAGTATTGTTGTGTTTTAAATTTGGTAGTCTTGTTTTTTTTTTACTCTATTCTGTACAGCACTTTGATCAACCTCGGCTGTTTTTAAATGTGCTTTATAAATAAATATTGTAATGTATTGTATTTACAACAAAAAACACAGAGAAGGAAGTTTAACTGCACATATAGTAAAATATGCTGTAATCAATGTTAGCAACCTAAAAATGTAAAACAAATGACTGGCAGAAAGCACATCTAATTTTTCTGATTGGTGAAGTTTATTCTTTGTGGTTTACAGAGTCAAAGGTATTCTATAGTCTTTGGTCAAGGGCTGTCACAGTACGAACTCATTACTATTATTTTCAAAGATATGTCAGCTAGTAGTTTTATATGTGGAAAAAGTAATAAATATTTAAACCAATTTGTTGTCAAATAAACTTACTTGAACACTTTCTCTGGTAAGGAGATGCTGAACATGTCAGACGACTCCGCAGAGACTCTTGACTTTCCTCTGCTGAGATTATAACATGATCACAGTTTCATGAAAGTAATTTTAAATAATTTATTCAGCGTTTCATGTAATTTCATGTAACCTTTATATTTACAGAAATATCACTGAGTTTAAATGGTTTAAAAATTTACCTGAGCAAGTGATCTTGGCCACCTCGTTATCACAGTCATTCTGTCCCCAGAATGAAGATGGACATTGCCATAAAGTGGAATCATGTCGTCGACATTTAAAATAATCCAGCCAGTTATGAGACTTCAGTCCCACTGAATATCTGGGTTCACTGCCAGATCTTCCACAGTTCAGCTCTTGACAGATCAGACTCGCTGTGTCTCTGTCCATCTTGTTGTAACACACATTACCCCAGGATCCATTGTAGAAAACCTCCACATTCCCTTCACAGCCCTCAGTTAACCTGATCTCTTTAAACTCTAGATAGAAAGGAAAGGGAATTAATTAATAAAAAAATTAAAAAAAAACAGTTCTTTTAGAGCTTTTAAAAAATTAATATTTTGGGGGGGGAAGAAATTGTATTTCACTGCCAAACGATATAACCATTTCAATAATAAATAGATCTAAATTTTACAATTTGCAATATTACCCCAGGATCCATTGTAGAAAACCTCCACATTCCGCCCTCAGCCCTCAGTTAACCTGATCTCTTTAAACTCTAGATAGAAAGGAAAGGGAATTAATTAATAAAAAAATAAAAAAAAAACAGTTCTTTTAGAGCTTTTAAAAAATTAATATTTTGGGGCGGGAAGAAATTGTATTTCACTGCCAAACGATATAACCATTTCAATAATAAATAGATCTAAATTTTACAATTTGCAATTGTAAAATGCTTGTCTTTTATTAACTAAAAATAACCGACTCAGAGTCATTCATTTGAGAATCGGATTAACATTTTCATGTGTGTTCCGTAATGAATAGTCAGCAGCAGTGTTTTAGTACTGTATTCCATCTACACTCTCAATGGAATGAACCCTCAATGGAATCACTTTCGGAATTCTTTTAAAAATGCATAAGAACATTTTTCAACCCTGTTCTTAATGTGTATAATGCAAACACAATGGATATTGCTAATAATGAGAGCAATTTATGGGTTATTAAAATTTTATTATTTAAATGATTGTTTACTGTTTACCTGAGCACACGACTCCTACGTCCTCCTTGTGTTTACAGTCATGTTTTCCCCAGCCTGGAGAAGAGCAGCTCCACAGGGACGTCTCATTCCCCTCACACTCCACCTCATCCAGCCATATGGGTCCAGAACCAGGACCAAACCAGGCTGGTACCTGCTGGTTACTGAGGGCCACTCCACACTGCAGCTGTCTGCACACCACATGGGCATCTTTAATATCCCAGGAGTCATCACACACTGTCCCCCATGAGCCGCTGTGAAAAACCTCCAGCCTCCATACACTGTCCCACATGAGCCGCTGTGAAAAACCTCCAGCCTCCATACACTGTCCCACATGAGCCGCTGTGAAAAACCTCCAGCCTCCATACACTGTCCCACATGAGCCGCTGTGAAAAACCTCCAGCCTCCCTGCACAGTCTCCCCCAGAACCCACCAGCCTGATGGACCCGCGACCTGATATTCAGAGACAGAAAAACACATTATTGATCACGAACAACTGAAGAATCTGTCCAGATGTTGTTGTTCTCACCAAGGCAGGTGATTGACAGCTGTTGTGTGGAGCTGCAGTTGAGAGTTTGTGGAGAGCTGCAGTTCCCCAGATGAGCTTCACTCCCAGAGCACTGGAAGCCCGTCACACACTCATGACTGTGTTCAGGACTGGATGAAGAGGAGCCGTAGAAGTTCAGCACAGAGCCACAGCCCAGCTGTCTGCAGACCACAGAGGATTCAGTGAGACTCCAGGAGTCCAGCAGAACTCTCCTCCAGACCTGATGGATGAAAACTTCCACCTCCCCCTCACACTGTCTCTCTCCAGACAACTGCACCAGACCATCATGAAGAGCCAGAGATGAATCTGAAGAGAAGATGTGATGTGTTTTTGAACTGGTAGAACAAAGTATTGTAGTTAAAGAACAATTAAATAGTTTATGCCTAATATAAGCCTAGAGAGTTTTTTTTTTTTCACAATTAGCATAATGTTATTAGTCTTGATTAAATAAGTTTACCAGAGCAGATGACTCCAACATCTTGTTTATGAGAACATTCAGCTCGACTCCATGAAGAGATGGAACATTCTGAGAGTTTTGTTTCATTCCCGTCACAATCAAACATATCAGCCCAGATTTCACCACTTCCCTCTCCAAACCAGTCTGATCCCACAACAGAGACAGCAATCCCACAATTCAGCTGTCTACAGAGGACACTGGCAGCTCTCATATCCCAGCATGCATCACACACTGTGGCCCATTTGCTGAGATACTGATGTTCAACTCGACCAGAACAGGAGTCTGGTCCATTTACCAGTCTGAGATCGGTGTAACCTTAATGAAAAACAATGTTTATTTAAAAAAATAAAGTTTTTGTTTTTTGTTTTTTTACAAAAAAGAAAAAAGAAAAAAAAAACTTTGTGATTATCACAGTAAGTGGAAAACTACAGCTCCATTACCAGAACATAACAGCCCAATGGCATTCTCATGGGTACAGTTGTGTTTGAGAGATGATGTTGGACAGAAAGAAATATAAGATTCATTTCCTCTGCACTGAATCTCTTGTGTCCACATCCGAACATCTCCTTTGTCAAAAGCAGCTGCTCCCAGCACCTGTACAGGAGCCCCACAGTCCAGCTCTCTACACACAACCTCTGCATCCTGCTGGTCAAAGGCAGCATCACACACTGAATTCCAGGCATTCACATGAATCACCTCTAATCTCCCAGAGCACAGGTGAGGTCCATCAATAAGTCTGGAATGTTTATGATCTGTTTATATTATATTTAATAAATGATACAAAAGAGACAAATCACAGTTATTTGGAGTGTATCTGTTGAGCATATAAAAAATACAACATGAATATCACATCAGATTTACAGTTTTGTGTCATTTTATGTCATTTATCACAATAAACGGTATACTGTGTCATTCACCTGAGCAGATGACTCCAGCATCACCATTATGAGTACATGTGTGCATACCCCATCCTGCTGATCTACAGTTCTTCAATGTAGATTCCATTCCAGAACATAAGGCACTCATCCAGATTGGTCCTGATCCTGGTCCAAAATGAGCATCACCCAGAGCATCTACAGGTTCTCCACAGTCCAGCTCTCTACACACCACTGCAGCATCAGCCAAATCCCAGTCATCATCACACACTGTTCCCCACTGACCTCTATGAAGAACCTCCACTCTACCAGCACAGCGACTGTTACCACCAACAACCCGCACATTCATTGCATCTGAGAAAGGGTAACAGAGAGAGAGAAAGAAAGAGAGAGAGAGCGTGCAAATTTGTCATATTTAAAATAATGGACCACTGTGTTGTATACATACATAAATGTCTCTCTCTTTCTCTCTCACTTAATCCAGCTCTTACCAGCACACACCAGTCTAACATTGTTGTCCTGTGAACAGTTGTTTTTATGTGATGGTGATGTTGGACAGAGGTGAATCTGAGACTCATTTCCTCTGCACTGAATCTCTTGTGTCCACATCTGAGCGTCTCCTTTGCCAAAAGCAGCTGCTCCCAGCACCTGTACAGGAGCCCCACAGTCCAGCTCTCTACACACAACCTCTGCATCCTGCTGGTCAAAGGCAGCATCACACACTGACATCCACGTCTGATCATGAAGTATCTCTAACCTCCCAGAGCAGCGAGAACCTCCAACCAGTCTGACTTCTGAAAGAACACAGATCATTTAAATAATTTACTGGGGAAAATAAAATCCCTTTTGTACACTTGATGGATAAAAGTAATATATCCACTAGCCTATTTGTTTTTTAACAACCACCAACTAGAATCTGAAACCTATAAACAATATTGAGAAAAAATGTTTTTAAAAGCCACAATATGATTTTTTAAACACAAAAATCAATTATTGAGCAAGTACATACAGTAAAAAAAAAAAAAAACTTCTTGCCTGTAGCTGTTTCTTGAAGGTGTAGAGCATTGGTTCTCAACACTGGTCCTGGGGACCCACTGCTCTGCACATTTTACATTTCTTCTTTTTCATTTAATGCATCTAATTCAGATCATCAGCTGATTGAGACACTCCATCAACTGAAGTGAGTGTGACAGATAAGAGAGACACACATAATGTACAGAGCAGTGGGTCCCCAAGACCGATGTTGAAAACCATAGAAAAACTAAGCGGGTTTATTCAAGTAACAGAGACAATTTTTTGCCAAATATTTTGTGTTTGTGTGTATATCAAACTAAATTATTTTAGTAGAGACCATTTTAGTGATTAAGGTGAGGTACTGTATGGAGCAGTTTACCTGAGCACCTGACTCCAGCATCTTCATTATGATCACAGTCGCTTTTACTCCATCCTGTTGTGCCACAGTTTTTCAGTGTAGACTCTGATCCAGTGCACACAACATAACTTATCCAGATCGGTCCTGTTCCTGGTCCAAAATGAGCATCACCCAGAGCATCTACAGGTTCTCCACAGTCCAGCTCTCGACACACCACAGCAGCATCAGCCAAATCCCAGTAATCATCACACACTGTTCCCCACTGACCTCTATGAAGAACCTCCACTGTACCAGCACAGCGACTGTTACCATCAACCAACCTCACATTCACACGGTCTGAATATTGAACAGAGAGAATGAGAAATTAAGAGACAGTGAGGAAAATAGAAAATCGGGATGAAAAATTAGATGAATTAATCATATTATGGGAGAGAAAAACATTTTGGTAACATTACATTTTCAGTCAGGGGATTTGAATCTAGAAAAGAAATTAGCTCCAACCTGCACACACCAGTTCAACACTGTATTCATGAGAACAGCGGTGTTTGTCTGATGGTGATGCTGCACAGAGGTGAATCTGAGACTCATTTCCTCTGCACTGAATCTCTTGTGTCCACATCTGAGCGTCTCCTTTGTCAAAAGCAGCTGCTCCCAGCACCTGTACAGGAGCCCCACAGTCCAGCTCTCTACACACAACCTCTGCATCCTGCTGGTCAAAGGCAGCATCACACACTGACATCCACGTCTGATCATGAAGTATCTCTAACCTCCCAGAGCAGTGAGAACCTCCAAGTAGCCTGACATCTGAAAGCAAAAACAATGAATTGATATAAAAAACAAAAACAAAAAAACCTTGGTGTATAAAACAATATTTTATAAATTCCTAAGACCACATTTCACATGGAAAACACTACACATTTTATATATTTGTATTGTATTCAGAATATCTGAAAAAAAAGATTGAAAAAAAAAACAGTAGATGTAAATGTTAAACAAAGGTATCATGCATACTCTAGGTATATTCTTATTTATTTATTTAGTTAGCATACACTTGAGTGAGATAAGTTTGTGATTTTTGTGTATACTATTCAAAAGTTTGTGGTCAGATTTTTTTTTCAGCAAATTTATCAAAAAACTTTTTTTTTATGTTCATCAAAGAATCCTGAAAAAAAAAAAATACCTCCAAACTTTTTATGGAGTTGGTGGGGGACAATTTCTGGTGATGTTATTATGTTGAGGACTTAAGCAGTTTACCTGAGCAGATGACTCCAGCATCCCCATTATGATCACAGTTGTTTTTATCCCATCCTGTTGAGCCACAGTTCTTCAATGTGGACTCTGTTCCAGTACATAAGACAAAACTCATCCAGATTGGTCCTGATCCTGGTCCAAAATGAGCATCACCCAGAGCATCTACAGGTTCTCCACAGCCCAGCTCTCTACACACCACTGCAGCATCAGCCATATCCCAGTCTTCATCACACACTGTTCCCCACTGACCTCTATGAAGAACCTCCACTCTACCAGCACAGCGACTGTGACCACCAACCAACCTCACATTCACACTGTCTGTATATTGAACAGAGAGAACAAAAAAATTGACAGTCTCATAATGTGAACGAATCACATCATGAGAGGGAAAAATGGTATTTAGCTAACATCAAATTTTCAATCTGGGGATTTAAATCTGAAGAAGACATTAGTTCCAACCTGCACACATCAGTCCAACACTGTTTTCATGTGAACAGTTGTGTTTGTGTGATGGTGATGTTGGACAGAGGTGAATCTGAGACTCATTTCCTCTGCACTGAATCTCTTGTGTCCACATCTGAGCGTCTCCTTTGTCAAAAGCAGCTGCTCCCAGCACCTGTACAGGAGCCCCACAGTCCAGCTCTCTACACACAACCTCTGCATCCTGCTGGTCAAAGGCAGCATCACACACTGACATCCACGTCTGATCATGAAGTATCTCTAACCTCCCAGAGCAGCGAGAACCTCCAACCAACCTGACATCTGAAAGAACACAGACAATTTAAATATTTTACTGGGGAAAATAAAATCCCTTTTGTACACTTAATGTATAAAAGTAATACATCTACTAGCCTATTTTTTTTTTTAACAACCACCAACTAGAATCTTAAACCTATAAACAACATAAACATTTTTTGAAAAGCCTGAAAGAACACAGACAATTTAAATTATTTATAGGAAACAAAAACACTAAACATTTAATATTTGTATTTTAAAATCCAACTAGAATCTTTAAAAAAAAATTAAAAGATTGACATATTAGCCTCCTGAGACCCTGCATCCTCATATGAGGACATTATATTTTAGTGAATTTCTCTGAGACTATACATGCCACAGTTTTTAGTCTGGATGTCCTGTACAGAGCACATTCAGGGCTTTTCAGAGATACTAAATGTTTGGATGTTTCACCATGACCACTCCCTCTCCTTGGTCTTCAAAAATGTCTGATATTAATTTAGTGACACTCTTATGGAAATATGATAAATTTCAATATTCCTATGAAATATTATATATTATTATGAAAATCTTGTCAATTATTACTCTCAATATTACACTTCTTTGTTCATTACATTACAAAAACACATTAATATGCAAATTAGATTTAGTTTATAGATACATTATATATAATGAGAAAACCTGTTTGTGGCCATTTTACACACATTTTGCATGAAGAAAAATGGTATATCAAATCATTCTGTTATAACATAGTTGAGAATTATCTTTATACAAAGTTTGGTAAAAAAAAATCCTAAAAACTAAAAATGTATTGGTGATTTCAAAAAAATCAATTGTTTTTGCCTATGCATGTTCATTCATGTTTTTTTATTTATTTTTTAAAGAAATTGAGTCCCGATGTCCTCTACCAAGGACGTAGCATAACTTATGAATGAAATTGCTCCAAACAATGTAATGACATCAAAAAATACAAATTTTTTCCTGAAATGTTTT